ACTTTGGGCAGCAGCCTCCTCCTCCTCCTGGCGCTTAGCCTGTTCCTCCTGGGCCCGCTGCCGCTCCAGTTTTTTCATCATTTTGAGGTCCTTCCACTTCTTTTTCTCCTCCTTCTCTGGAGAAGAATTGGTGGGGGAAGAGGGCTGTGGCATAGTGAGATTTCCCTTTCACTGAAGCAGCCTGGGCTCAGCCCGGGCAGCTCCGCTTGGGTAGACACCCAGAGAGGGCTTGGCCTGCAGGGCATTAGGTGGTCTGGGGAAAGGGAGGGCTCAGCCCTTACTTACTCTGCTGCTTCCATTTTCGCCATTCAACCCTTTGGCCGTGTTCACCCTGGAAGGGCAGGAGGAAGAATGAGAGCCTAAACGGCCACACATCGGCGGGGAGCATCGTTGCTGGCTCTAGCCATCTGAATTCCCCAAACCAGGCAGGAGCACAGGGATTCGCTGTGCTCAGAGCCTGGGGTTAGCCTCGGCACAGTAAGCAACCGCGAAGTTCAGGAATAAATTGCCATAGGACAAAAGAGGAAACTGAGGCAAGGGAGGAGAGCACGGGCCACAGCGTTGCCCTAGGGATCAGAAACAAGTCAGGAAAGGGCTCGGCAGCGTGAGCACCGCCGCCCTGCGGGAATGTAGCCCGGGCCAGCTAACCTCTCAAGCTCAGGTCCCGGGTGAGCGGTGAGGAGGGAGCTCCCGGACCGAAACCGGGCGCCACGGCGCCACGGCCTTGCCCGGAACCCCACCTGCTGCCACTTACTGGGCCACACGGACGCTTCCTCGGGCGCTCCGCCATGTTTCCGGAACACCACGCGCTTGCCAATCAGCCCCGCCTCTTCCGGCCACACCTCCGCAGAACTGGCCAATTGAAGGCCCCGAGGCGCGTGGGCGCGCGACCTGGGAGTCAATGGAAGGTGGAGCGCAGATGCTCCTGGTGCAGGGACGCGGGTCGAAGTGCTGGTGCCTCTCCAGGACAAATGAGTGGGCAGCAGTGTGGTCACTTAGGGCCCTTCCAATCGGTAACAGAACGACATTCGGCTTTCATGTTATATGTAAGGAGACCCTACTGGAAATTACTTTAAGAGTAGTTTAATCCAGTTCTTCAATTAGTTCATTTGCACTTTCTTTGTATTTACATCCATTCATTCATTTTCCTGGGACTCCAACTGAGGGCCTGACTCCTGCTAAATCAACCTGTGACCTACATTCTCAACCCTACCCAGACTTATTCTTTATCACTTTGATTTTCTAGTTTGTGTGGGGGTCTTCAAATTGAAAAAAAAAATTGAGATAGGGTTTTACTATGTAGCTTGGACTGACCTCAAAGTCAAGATCACCTTCCATCAACCTCCTGAGTGCTATGACTGCTTAATTTTTGGCAGTCTTGGGGATCAAATCCAAGGTCTCGAGCATACAAGCACTCTATCACTGAGCAACATCCCGGGTCCCCTTTAAAGCAGTATTTTAAGTTTAAGGGGGAAAAAAATTGGAAGATAATAATGAAAGTGGTTCCCAAAAAGCTTTTCTGCCTAGTAGTTTTGCATTAACTTTTTGTTTTGTTTTTCAAGACAGGGTTTCTCTGTGTACTCCCGGTTGTCCTGGAACTCACTCTGTAGACCAGGCTGGCTTCTAATCAGAGATCCATCTGTCTCTGCCTCCCAAGGACTGAGAGAGTAAAAGCCTGTGCCACCATGCACAGCTTGTCACATGATCTGGTACTTAGTCACAGTTACACTCAGAAGATACTGACACACGATCAACCAAACAACATTCTCTCTTTTGACTTTTATTTCCTTTTTATCTGTTTTGCTTGCTTTGGTTTTGTTTGGTGAGACAGTGTCCATCCTCCTGCCTCATCCTCCCAAGTACTGAAATTGAAGGTGTGCAGCACCATGCTCTCTGAGATTTGACTTCACTTATTTTGTTTTTATGAGTGTTTTGTCAGGATGTATGACTGTGCACCACAAGCTTACCTGGTGTCTGAGGGGCCAGGAGAGATCCCTGGATCCCTTGGGACTGAAGTTACAGGAGGTTGTGCGTAACCTTGTGTCTACTGGGAACTGAACCCAGGTCCTCTAGAAGGGGAGCCAGTTCTCCTAACCGCTGAGGCATCTCTCCAGCTCCCAGATCACTTCTTTGAAGTGGGGAGGGGGGTAGCTCAGAGGCTGTGTATCTTACACAGGCCACTTGACTCAAGATCCTCCTGCCTCAGCCTCCTGAGTGCTGGGATTATAAATGTGTACCGGGATTATAAATGTGTACCAAAAACTGGGGGTAGTGGCACACACCTTTAATCCCAGCACTTGGGAGACAGAGGCAGAGACAGGCGGATCTCTGTGAGTTCCAGGACAGCCAGAGCTACAGAGTGAGACTCTGTCTGAAACAAAACAAAACAACAACAAAAACAAACAGGCCAAGTGTGAACCATGCAGCCAACGTCAGAATCACATTGATAGACTTCGAGGCAGGGCTTAGCTGTGAGTTATGGGCAGATTCTGGATGATGCGTGAGAAGCGAGCACATATATGTCTGTGTCTGTTTGTATGCTTTCCAGCTGAGGCAGGAGTGTTCCCTGAGCCTAGGGCTCACGGTTCTGCCCAGATTAGAAGCCACCAAGAGTCTCTCGTCTCCACCACCCCTTTAGCTGGGGTTAAAGGCATGTGTGGACACATAATTTGTAAGATCAGTGCTGGGATCTGATCTCTGGTCCTCCTGATTGGACAGCCATCTCATCTCTCGAACCTAGAGCTTTTTCTTTCCTTTTTTTTGTTTTTTTGTTTTTTGTTTTTCGAAATAGTGTATCCTCTGTGTAACAGTCCTAGCAGTCCTACAGTCCTGGTTGTTCTGAAACTCACTTTGTAGACCAGGCTGGCCCTGAACTCACAGAGATCCTCCTGCCTCTGCCTTCCTGAAGTGCTGAGATTAAAGACGTTGCCACCATTGCCCCCCCCCCATATTTTTTAAAGGTTTATTTATTCATTATGTATACAGTGTTCTGCCTGCACGCCAGAAGAGGGCACCAGATCGCATTATAGATGTTTGTAGTTGCTGGGAATTGAACTCAGGACCTCTGGAAGAGCAGCCAGTGCTCTTAACCGCTGAGCCACCTCTTCAGGCCTGGATTTTTGTTTTTGAGACAGTCTCGTGTAATGTGTGTCAGAGTTGGCCTTGAACTCACAACGCAGCAGAGCCAGACCTTGAATTCCTGATCCTCCCTATCCCACCTCTGGAGTAAAATAATGGGGTATGCCATCCTGCCTGGCCTTTGTTGCGGTGTTTGAAATGAAGGATTCTGAGTTTACCCTATGCAAGAATTTATCATCCTGCCATGTGGTGCGGCAGAGCTGCTCCAAGCCTGAACCCTTGAGGTTGAATTTGGTTCACAATCCTCCCTCTGCATCAGCAGCAGTACTGTGTGGTTTGAAAGGAAAGAAAGGGAGACACCGTATGCTTTCTCTGACACCAAGTATGTTCCAAATGGCGAGTCTTGGCTGGGATGCAGCTCACAGTTAATAATGCTTGCCTAGCATGCGTGAGACCCTGGTGTGAGCCCCCGAATCATGTATATACAATGCTCACAGAGCCCAGAAGACAGTGCTGGGTCCCTCGGAGCTGGAATTGCAGGTGGTTGTGCTCTGCTATACGTGGGTGCTGGGAACTGACGCCATGCCCTCTGTTAGAGCAGCAAGTGCTCTTAGCCACTAAGATGTCTCTGGCCCATCAAACTCCTCCCCCCTTATATCTGATTCTAGAACTGCGATAAAAGCCAATTAAATCTTTTAACTAAATGCGTCTTTTGACAGGTTTATTACCTATGCACATCTGATTCAATCACTAGCTATGGCTGGGGATGTAACTCAGTGGAACAGCGTGGGCAAAGCCATGAGTTCAAGTCCTTAGCACTGTCAACAAAACAAAACACAAATCAAGCCAGGACTGATGGCTTAGGTTTATAATCCTAATACTCAGGAGGCAGAAACAGGAGGATTGTCATGAGTTTGGAGCCAACCTTGGCTACAGTGTGACACTGACCTCTCTTGGCAGCTTCCAAAAAGAAAAGCATCATTGGCCTTGTAATTGAACTGAAAATCCAGTCCTACTGCATTCCCTGAGGACAGAAGAGGGGAGGGGGTGACCTCAAAGCTCTTACGCTGACCCTAGGTCCAAAGGAGCGTTTTATGATTAGCCAGAACCATTCCTATCTATCACAAAACTTCATGTTTTAGGAATTCTGTTTTAGGAGAAAACATTTTTTGAAGGTCTTAAACCTTATGTCCCCATCATTTCTCTAGGTTCAAGAAAGGCTGTGAGTGAAACTTCTGAGGTTGCTCTACCTATGACCTGGCTCCTAGCATGGCCTTCTGTGGGGCTTTAAGACTACAGCAGCTTTAGTGAGACATCCAACTGGGGATCAAATCCCACTTCTATGCCAGGTGTGGAACGTGCCGTAATCTCAGTACTCTGGAAGTAGAGGCAGGAGGTTGACAAGCTTGAGGCAGCTTGGTCTACATATTGAGTTTCAGGCCTGTCTAAAACCCCTGCCCAAATCAAACCTCACGTCCACTTTTGGCCAAGCACTCACTGGTCATGATGTCTCCCCCACTCTGCCTCCTCAGCAGGCTATTGGAGTTGCAGGGAAGCCTGGGCCAGTGGGGCTGTTCTCAGATGCCCCTCTGACCTCAATGCACACACCAGGCAATTCTTGAATCCCTGTGAAGATGTCTCCAAGACCCTATCCCCATCCATCCACACAAACACCTTAAGCCAGCCTTCAACGTGCACCCTCTGGAGTGAGGAGCACAGCAGACAGCCTGGGTCTGGGAAGTCTGTGTTGCCACGTACAAGCCCTGTGACTTCAGATGAGTTCGTGGCTCCCAGTGTTCATACACAGACACACTCTCTCCTCTCTATCTCTGTCTCTCTCTTCATAGGGAAGGTGTGGGGTCTGAGGTTCCCTGGGGTCCCTTCCAAGCTGTTTAGCAGGCAGTCCAGAGGAAGAGGCTGCCTTGAGGGCTCTAATAACTTACAACTTTATTAGGAACAAAAACAATCAAGTCAGAAACAATATCTTGAAGTCACATGAGAAGAGCTGGAGAGCCCCTGGGCAGGGCTAAGTTAAGGCTGGGGCTCCAACCTGATACTCCATCCTTTACTATCCCAGGCAGGGAGGCCAGAAATAACCACGACCCTAAAATAACCTACAGAGGAGCAGAATATGGCCCAACTCAAGAAAGCAGTCCAGATACTGTGAGAAAAGATTGCTGAAACCCCCAAGTCGATGGCCCCTTTCCAGGAAGTATGTCCAGTCACAGAGCTGGGCCCTCTAGGGCTTCCCTGTGACGGAGCCCAGCTGAGGAGCCTCAGGGCTGGAGCTCCTTTTTCCACTTCTGCAGCCTCTCGTCCATGGCCTGGAGCGTGGCCTCATCCTGCAAGACACACACTGAGCCTTCTCTTGCCCTACCCGGTGGCTAGCCGGGCCCATCGAGGGTCTCCCAGCCTTTTCTCACCTTCACAAAACAGAAGCGGATGTAGTGGTCAAAGTCCTTCTGGTGAGGTTGACTGAAGAAGATGGAGACAGGGATGGCCACCAGGCCCTGGGGAGGAGGAAGCCATGTCTGCATATAGCCTCGAGACCCAAGACCTCAGCTTGGGTGGGGGGGACAAGGAGTAAGGGCTCAGTGTGTCCCCTCCACCTGATGTAATGGCCAGGAGAGAGACCCCAGGGCATTAAACTAGGTTCCTCCCAGGGTGCAGGGAGTGGGGAGAGAGAATAGAGAGACTGCAGCCTGCAGCACACCAAGGCAGAGCTGGGGGGAAGAACTAAGTTTGAACTGCAGTGCTCTGAGCAGGGTGGTAAGAGCAAATGGGCTGGATTCTCAGGTATAGGAGAGACAGCCAGGCTCAGAGAAGGCAGGAGTTCCTGGAACCAGCTTGGCTGCCTTGTGCAGGTGAAAAGGAGGCTGTGCAGTGAGCCCTGGAGCAGGAGTCATGCGAAGGTCGGGCACCTGCTGGCCCCACAAGAGCTCCAGCCTACCTTGTTTTTGATCATCCACTTGGCAAAGCGTCTGTCGTAGGGCTCATCCTCAGCACCGGGCAGGTCGGGCATCTTGCTCTCTGGGGCAACAGAAGAGGTCCTGCTGAGTCCCGGCCAACTTTGCTATCTCCCCAGATCCTGGGTGACATGGCCAGTACCACTCACTGAAGTTCGAGATGTCTGCAATGAGGAAGTAGCTGCCCAGGGGGATCAAGGGCTGGAGGCCCACTGACTGCAGGCTGCGGATCATGTGGTCTCTGTTTAGCTTCATGGCCTGTGGGAGCTGCAAGAAGTAACTGCCGGGTTGTCCAAAGTGCTGCTGCTCCCGTTCAAAGCACTGGGCTACTGCGGCCTGGACAGGGCAGATGGAAGGCCAGGTCAGCTGTGCTCGGTCCCTGTCACCTTCCCCACCGTGGGTTTTCATGCCCTTCTCACCTGGGCCTGGGTGGGACAGTGGAAGATAGAGTTCTGATGCACAGTCCGCAGGTGCTTCAGGATCCGATCTGGACCCATGACCCAGCCCACCTGGACAGGACACAGTCAGTGAGGGCCTCAGCCAAAGGAGCCTTTCTTAATCCTCCAGCTGCTGTCACCTGCCTAGGGACCACACTTACCTTCCAGCCGGTGGCACTGAAGCTTTTGCCTGCACTGCCAATGGTCAGGGTCCGCTCCCACATGCCAGGGAGGCTGGCTGCCCGAGGCCAAGAAGAACAAATGTTGAAACGGGGAAGGTATGGGGCGGGGGGCCCAGGGACAAGCACAGCCTCTTAACTGAGGACTGGTATCCTCGAAGCTGCTGATGGAACCATTCCATCGCCTCAGACATTCCCCAGACCTCAGGGAGGAGATGTCCCTGCCCACAGTCACACCAGTGCACAGGTCCACAGCCCTGGGTCCTGATCACCACGCCTAGGCTGTTCCCAGTGGGCTCAAGCCCTGCTCAAGTGTCCAGGGGAAGCTGTGGCAGGCCCGGCTCACCGATGCTGACGTGCTGGTGCCCATCATAGACCAGCCACTGGTAGACCTCGTCAGAGATGCACAGGACGTCATGCTGCTGGCACAGGTCAGCCACCAGCTCCAGCTCCTTCTTAGAGAACACCTGTGGGATCCAAGGTCACAGGTACGCAACTGGGACTGTCCCCAGGTGCAGAGCCTGCCCAGAGGTAGAGTGTGAGACCATACTAGGTCCTAAGGCTTCTCTGGATCATCCCTTTGACCAGCTCGGGATCTGGTCCCTTTGGCCCTGTGGGATTGGTTATCTCTGGATCCCACTGTACAGGGAGGTAAAGACACTGTTCCAAATCCACTAGGAAGTGGTGAAGCGCTCAGCCCACCCACCTAGGCCTTCACACCTCTGGGAGGGTTGGGTCCTCAGAGTTCAAGGCGTACAGCCCTCCCACTTCACACAAGGAGGGAAACTCAGTTTG